TTATTATTATTATTATTATTATTATTATTATTATTATTATTGTTATTGTTATTGTTATTATTATTATTGTTAATGTTATTGTTATTGTTATTATTATTATTGTTAATGTTATTATTGTTATATTGTTGTTCTTATTATTATTGTTATTATTATTATTATTGTTATTGTTGTTATTATTATTATTGTTGTTATTATTATTATTATTATTATTATTGTTATTGTTATTATTGTTATTGTTATTATTATTATTATTATTATTGTTATTATTATTGTTATTGTTATTGTTATTATTATTATTATTATTATTATTATTATCATTATTATCATTATTATCATTATCATTACACTATTATTATTATTATTATTATCATTATTATCATTATCATTATTATCATTATTATTATTATTATTATTATTATTATTATTATCATTGTTATTATCATTGTTATTATTGTTATTGTTATTATTGTTATTATTGTTATTATTATTATTATTATTATTATTATTGTTGTTGTTGTTATTGTTGTTATTGTTATTGTTATTATTATTATTATTGTTGTTGTTGTTATTGTTGTTATTGTTATTGTTGTTATTGTTATTATTATTGTTATTGTTGTTATTGTTATTATTGTTATTGTTGTTGTTATTGTCATTGTTGTCATTGTTGTTATTGTTGTTATTGTTGTTGTTATTGTCATTGTTGTTATTGTTGTTATTGTTGTTGTTATTGTTGCTATTGTTGTTATTGTTGTTATTGTTATTATTATTGTTGTTATTGTCATTATTGTTATTGTTGTTGTTATTGTTGTTGTTATTATTGTTGTTATTGTTGTTATTATTGTTATTATTATTGTTATTGTTATTATTATTGTTATTATTCTTATTGTTATTATTCTTATTATTATTGTTATTATTATTGTTATTATTCTTATTATTATTGTTATTATTATTATTAGGGAGAGTCACTTGTCTATCTAAAACTTTAAAGTTATCTTTGAGAGTTTGGAGGGGAGGGAAAGAGAGAGTTTCAAAAAATAATTTTAAAATAAAATATAGAGAAATTATTTATTTTTTTTGAAAAAAAAGAATTTGTTTAAAATGATAAAATAATGTTTATCATTAATGTGTTTTTACTTTTTGAAAAACTATAATAACAAAAATTATATTTGAGCAATTTTTCTAAACCCTCCAAAATCCTCCAAAGCTCTCCGCCAATACAAATTTTAAATTCTCCTAAATTAGAGGATTTTCGGTGTTACGAAGAAAAACAAATTCTTCAAAATTCTCATAACCAAAAACTTTCTATTTTTGATCTAATCTTTCATATTTTCAAAGCCTTCCCCTCCCCTCCCATCCAAACTTTCTAACATAGCCTAAGATGATATGTGAGTAGGTTCTAGGATTGGTCTCGACTTTTTAGAGGTTCAGAGCGAATAATAAAAATGAACCCCTAATAAAAAATATAATTATTTTTTTAAATAGAACATCATCTATTTAAATTGTAAATAACATGAACAACATCAAATATAGTCATTTATCGGTGTAACTAACATTAAAAAATGTCATATTATGTTTGAGGGAGATGAAACAACACTGAAAATGATGAAATATTTTTTATTAGGTTACTTTTATTTTTGTTGGATCTATTATTGATTGAGCCTATTATTTATATTGTTTGAACTTGATTATATAAATACCAAAAAAATTTTTGAAGCTCCTATATCTTGGAGGTCTTGAGCAGTGGCCCAGTTTGCCTTGCTTCAGGGTCGGACCTGGTAGGTTCTTCCACTTATATATATGCTCAAGTCTCCACATTCCTATATGATGTAAGACTATTCACTCACTTAAAGTGTGTTTGGTTCGAGATAGATGGAGGAGAGAGGAGGAAATATTTCTAATAAAATGTGCCTGGTTCAATTTTTAAGAGGTGAAGAGAGCAAAATCTCTCCAAATCACTTTTTTCATTATTCCAAATTGGAGGGATTCGGAGGGGAAGGGAGGCAAAATAATTTTTTATATATAATAAATTAATATATTTACTAAAATATCTCCAGTTTTATTTTAGTACTTCAAAATTATTATTTTCTTTCGTGTTTAATTTCTCTTTTGTGTTATTATTCTCTTTTATTTTCATCAATTTATTATAATTATTCTTCACCTTTAAATTGTTTTTTTATTTTTATTTAATATAAATTATAAACTACAATATTTATTTTTATTTTTATTTTTATGTTTATTTATTAGTTTTTTTTTCTAATTTTGTTATATATTTTATTATATTTTTTTTATATAAAATTTTAAACCATTCTTTTTTTATTATATTGTAATATATGTAAAATATATAATAATAATAATAATAATAATAATAATAATAATAATAATAATAATAATAATAATAATAATAATAATTTAATTTAAGTATTAAAAAGTATTATTAACATATAGTTTATTTTGTGTTATGACTTAAGTGTATTCGATTTTTTTAATCTTATATGATAAATTATGACTTTTTAGTCACTCAATATTACATATTTTATTTTCAAAAAAATATTTATGAATTTTTCACCTTTGAATATTATATCACCTATATAAAATTATAAGGAGAAATAAATTAGTAATAAAATCTCTCCTCTCTCATCATAAACCAAACATATTTATAATTAAAAAAATCTCTCCCCCCTCTTTTCATTCCCTTCCCTCCATTAAAATTTCTCCCCTTACCTCTTGTTCATTTGAATCAAACAAATCCTTATTCACACTTACATTATTATTTTAACATATTTTACATTTTTCAAATAATTCAAACAAGTGAAAAAATTTCTACTGATTATTTACATGTGTAAAAGAAAATATACAAAAGCACAACTTAAGTCACGCCTCTGGTCACAATATTGATCATCATTAAATCTTCAACGGAGTTGAAGAAAGCAAGCAAAGCATTATTGATATTATTCTATTATATCGTGTCTGCAATATTATAAGCTAAACCAACCATTATACAAATATGTAAACGAGTTGTATGAGACGGGAAAGCATCAATCAATTCTGGTTTTTGTAATTAAAAAAAATTCTTAATTTCTTCTAATTCTAATGTGTATTTTATAGGCAGTAATTTGTGGCATGTGAAGCAACTATTTAAATTAACCATGTTGTCCCCACCACCGTTCATTCGGATCTCACATGCGTTCCCCTGCCATATTACTCATATTTAAAATTGAAAATGAATCGAGTTAAGTCGAACTCGTTTCAATTTAATTCGATTCATTAAGAATTAGTTGAGTTCGAGTTCGAGTTTGAGTTTATTATGAATTTTTTTCAATTCAAACTTGACTCATTAAAAATTGATCGAATTTGAATTCGAGTTAATCATAAACTTTTTTTTCAACTCAAATTCGACATGTTAGAACAATTTTATTTAAAACAAACTTATTTATCTTTATTTTATTCACAAGAATTATAGATAATATTTTTTATTTTTATATAATATAAGTTTCATCTCAAAAAAATATTTGTAATTCAAGCTATTATGTAATATGATGAAGTGTTATAACTTAAGTTTCTAACATATATTTTACTATGTTGAATTTGATTTTTTTTTAATCAATAGAATTGTAAATCATTTTATCATCTTTCAAATGATATAAATAAATATGAAAATTAAATATTGATGTCTTCATAAAATTTATATATTGAGTCAGATCTTGAATCAAACGAATCGAACTATATATAACTCAAATTCAACTCATTTATTTTACGAACTTAATTTTGAACTCAAATTCAACTCATTTGATTCATGAACCAAATTCAATGAATTAATTACTTAATCGAATATCGAACTATTTTCGAGTTGATTTGATTCATTGCCAATTCTACCTATATTATAAGGGATAGGGCCATATAAACAAACTTTTAACAGATTCTATTATCCAATCGATAGATGCATTTACATGGACAAATATACTCTTCCATGTACATGCAGCTATATATATATATATATATATATATATATATATATATATATATATATATATATATATATATATATATATATATATATATATATATATATATATATATATATATATATATATATATATATATATATATATATATATATATATATATATATATATATATATATATATATATATATATATATATATATATATATATATATATATATATATATATCATCTAATTTATTTATATTATATTATAAATAATTAAAATAAAATTTAAAATTTTCTAATATCTAACATCTATGACTTTATTCAGTCAGCATATTTTAATTAAATTCATGTTTTAAAAACTAGTTTAGTCAATGTAATAAATAAATATAATAATAAAGTTGTATAAATATCAAATTAAATTTAATTGGATGATTTGATTATTAAATTTTTTAAATTATAAATAAAAATATTTAAAATATCACAAATTAAATCAATTCTTCATATCTTTTATTTTTTTTAATTTTATCTCGTGAACAACAAAGATAAAGATTTGACTGATGAAATTTATATTTTTTATTAATTTTTAAATTAAATTTTTTTCAAAAGAAACTATTAAATGAAATCATTTTGACATTTTAGAAGGAAAAAAATCAAATAAATTTTTTTTGGGTTTGAAAAACTTTTTATTTATAGATTATTTTGAATTTTGACTAGTTTAAAAATGGTCTTTTAGAGCGTGTAAGATAAATTTCTCATAAACTCATAGTTAAATAAAAAGTCATAAAATATTTATCAAATTAAATTATAATTAAATTGTATTCCTATTTATTTTATTATAGTTAAATTATGACTAATCACCACAAAATCTTCAAAAACTTAAAATAGATCCGAATAACTTACCATGATTTTTATTAGTTTGATATTTGACTAATCTAAGAGACAATTAAGAATAATTATCTTTTAATTTTTGATTCAACCAACTTAACCAAAATCAAAATACTGAAAAGATATTTACGCTATAAAAAAAAAAAAAGACACTTATTAACTGTGATGGGAAAAAGACCTCACATACTTATAATAAAACCTTATCATGCAATGAGCTACATCACCAAAACCCATTTAATTTTCTTTTATAATGTTGATTTATGGCGCAGGTTATTGAATGGACTTGATATGATATGGACCATATGCTGTTCATGTGGACGGCTAAAAGATAACGATAAGAACCAAGGGCTATTTCAGTAAATTAAAATCTTATACCATTTCAATTTCCAACCGAAAAAAAAGCTAATATTAATATATACATATAACTTTCTATAAAAAATATTATCAGTCATCGCAATAATAATACCATTATTATATCATTTTATCATATTTTATTTTTTTTGTCAAAGTTTATTACTTTATAAAAATCTTAAAATTTTTTTTAAAGAAGAGTTTTTACCGTAATTTTATTCAGTGCGAGAATTAGTCTCTACATTTTTTTATCAATTGGTATCAAATAGTTTTATTTTTTACTTTAGTTAATGTTGCGGAATGTCGAACTATAGATAGCTTTTTCTACAAATTCAACGTCAATTAGTAATAATTATTTAATTAGTCTCAGCACTTAGACGCATGCAGAAAATAGGTTATTTATAAAAAGAAATAACCGGTATTTATTAAAACTTTCTCTCACTCTCTCACTCACTTCAACTACGACGCTTTCTCTCTCTAGAAGTAAAGCAACTCAACTCAACTTCTCCTCGAATCTCCCTCTTTCAGAGAGAGAGAGAGAGTGCGCGCGCGTCGTCACCAATTTTCGGTTAACGGATTCGTTCTTTTCTTCACCAGTTCAAAGCATCTTTTTCTCGGTATTTGTCATTTCAATCTTTCTCTATCTCTCTCTTTTTCCGTATACGGTTAGTCTTCATGACGTGGATTGATTTGTTGTTCGTTTAGGTTCGATGAATTTTCCACACTTTTCTTCATAATGTGATGTGATCGGTGACTGATTTGTTTTCGTTATGGCTGCGAATTCTTCGTTCGAAGGTATTGCTTCCACTCATCACTTTGTGTAATTTGTTATGGATTGTGTATGTTTTGTTGAAATTGAGATGATTTGATTCGGTGTAAGATTCGTTATCTGTGTTATGCGTTATTGTTATTATCTTATGTGATTTAACGATCTATGTGTTGATTAATCTGTGATTTGATTTTAGCATTGCCACGTATCGGATTTTGCATTGATCATTGATTATTATGATTTATATTACGTTAGATTTGTTGAAATCACACTGAATCAGTTTGATTTTGTAGAAAAGCTGATTTTACTGTTGATTTGCCAAAATCACGTTCAGTCAGTTTACTTTAGCATAAGATAAGCTTTTACGAAAGTACGGTGGTGGTTTAATGTGATTTTAGAAATTCTACTTTGATACTGAAATATGTTTGAAGTTAACCTCTATTAATTTTCATGGATTATGTATCATTTTCTTGTTCTGTTGAAATTTATATGATTGAATTCTCTGAGGCTGCTTCATGCTTTATATTATCTCACGTGATTAAATGTTGTACTGCGTAATTTATTTAATGATTTACCTGTTGATTAGACTCTATGATATGATATTTTTGCATTGCCATTTGCGACTTATCTGATTTTTTTGTAGATTGATTTATTTGCTGTGGTTTCTTCCTCAAGCTTTTCTTAGGCTTGACACGTCAATATATATATTTTTTAAAACGGTTGCGGTTGCCTTAAAGCTTTTGCGATTTTAGTCGGTATAAGTGTTGTGACACTGATTGATGTCGTCATGATGTGAATTAACCATAATTTGTTCTTTAACATATAAAACGGTGATAACGATATCGGTATCAGCAGATACCAATTTGCTGCGGCCGCATTGATGTCGTCATGATGTGAATTAACCATAATTTGTTCTTTAACATATAAAACGGTGATAACGATATCGATAACAGCAGATACCAATTTGCTGCGGCCGTTTTGCGGCCGCGGACTGTTTTTATAAACCCTGTGTTTACGCGTCCGCAATTGCGTTAGTAGTGATTGCATTAGTTGTATTTAACGCAACTTTCCACAATATCGGTGACCACAACACGACAATGATTTAAAACTAGCAATTTTTTGCAATATGGATCACAACATGGCAACGGTTTAAAACCTAGTTCTCCAAGTGTTTCTTTTCTGAGTGTTGGGTACTGATTGGTGTTGATTTTATTCTTTTAGAAAAAATAATAAACTTTCATGAAAGATGTTTTCCCTTTTTTATTTGATTTGATTGAAGTTTATTTTTCTTTATCTTTTGTGATTTTGACTTTTGGTTTAAATCTGTCTTGATTGTCTAGCTGTTAGTATGAGCTGCATTTGAGGGCCTAATAGGATATGTTTCAGTTTTATTGATGCCTTTTGAAGGAGGAAGGAGTTTTGATGGAAATAAGCATATAATACTTTTTTTGGAAGTAAATAAGCATATAATTTGATATGCGATGTGCCATCAACTAAATTAGTTGGTATATGGAGGTGCCTATAAAAGTCAAAGGAAGTTAAGCCCAGCTGCCTAATTTTCTGACCTGATTAGTCTTCATTGGGTTGGGATGTGCTTCTATATTTTATGTAGTCAATATTTTGGACCATAAAAAATTTGGGCCATTAACTTGTCAAACGTGTATCCATGTAGAAAAATAAATTCATAATAGTTTCTTGTATAAAGTCCATTATTTATGCTTATAGGTGCACAAACTTTTCAATTTCTTGATATCGACATGTCTATCAAAATACAAGTTGCAGTAGAAGTCTGTTGAAAAAGTCTTGTTTTCTTCACGCTTGGAAGTTTTGTAGTTGAAATGTTCTCATGTATATAATAATGATGTACTAATATCTTTTTCCTTGACCCTAGGTATTGCTCTTGATCCTTCTAAATGTAATAAATTGAGTATGGAGGAAAAAAGAGCGCTTGTATATGAAATATCTAATGACGGTGCATCCGAGATGCTGCAGTCATGGAGTCGTCAAGAGATTTTGCAAATCTTGTGTGTTGAGATGGGAAAAGAAAGGAAGTATACTGGGCTGACAAAGTTGAAAATTATCGAAAATCTTCTGAAAATTGTTTCTGAAAAGAAATCAGGCGGCTATGATATTGCCACAGACCCTGAACCACATTCTTTTCCTGCAACTGGCCAGAAGCCTGCTAAAAGGCAGAGAAAAACTGAGAATCCATCTCGATTGGCTGCTCCTGATAACAATGTTACAGCCAATAATGGTGGTGGTGTGAGTAATAATACCCCATACTGCAAAAACTCAGCATGCAAGGCTACCCTAAATCAAGGAGATGCGTTTTGTAAGAGATGTTCATGTTGTATTTGTCATCAATATGATGACAACAAAGACCCTAGCCTGTGGCTAATATGCAGCTCTGAAGCTCCATTTCCTGGTGTTTCCTGTGGCTTGTCATGTCACCTTGAGTGTGCTTTAAAACATGATGGTTCTGGAATTGGCAAAGATGGCCAACGCACCAAACTTGATGGAAACTTTTACTGCATCTCTTGTGGGAAAGTAAATGACTTACTCGGGTAAGTTCTATACAGATGGTTTTCATTTCCTTAGATGAAATAGCTTATCCAGTTAAAAGCTTTTTTTAATTTGTTTTCCCTGTTTTTCTCTGTCTTGGTTTTAAATTGTTTCCTAAACTTGAAGCTTTATGTGCATTCAAGTTATTGTTGTTATTATTTGAATTAAAAATGATTATATTTAGAATTTTGTTGTTTACAAGATTCAAAATAGACATTATGTGCTGAAATATATCATTTGAGTCTTAGAATTTTCTTCATGCTAAAGAAATAAGTTTAGTCAACCGAGTCATTTGTTATTTGTCAAAAGACTTTCATAATAGACAATGAGTAAAGAAATAAATTCACAGAATCTAACAATTTTTTTTTCATGCTTAAAGTCTATTAAAAGTTCTTGTTACCAATTGGAAATCTATCTTTCCATTTTTAATCATTTCCCCCTTTCCTTTTGGGTCTTCAGGCTCTATATGGTAGGAAATATAATCATAGTACTTTTTCGTTCATAATTTTCTTTAAACACGCACAAAGACTGGCATTTCAAGGTTAGTATTAAGTATAATCTGCATTGTGAAAGAGAAAGGTTTGTAAATTATTGAATGTTCTTTTAAATTGCTTTGCTATAGTGATTAGTGAAATCTACTCAGCACAGTGGAGAATGTTCTTTTGAATTGCTTTGCTGTTGTTAATCAAAAGATTGTAAAACTATAGTCATTTTAAGATGATTTTTGCAAAATGTGTTGGGTACCTACAATCTTATCTAATTTTAAATGTATTAGATGCTGGAGAAAACAACTTATGGTAGCAAAGGACGCTAGACGTGTGGACATACTCTGTTATCGTGTCTCCTTAAGCCAGAAACTTTTACAAGGGACAGAAATGTATCTAGAACTTTATAAAATTGTTGATGAAGCAGTGAAGAAACTTGAACCTGAAGTGGGTCCACTGACTGGCTCGCCGTTTAAGATTGGTAGGGGGATTGTGAACAGGCTTTCTTCAGGACCCGAGGTTCAGAGACTCTGCAGTGTTGCTCTTGAATCACTTGATTCAATGCTTTCTAGAATGATCTTGCCTTCATTACCCAATCCAACTATTCAAGGTGATCAATCACTTTTTTTAAAAAGACCTTGCCTTTTTCACTGATTTTAAAATTAGATTATGATCCATCCACGTGACTAGCATTGTAATATGGAACCAACTACTCTACTTCTGCCATTTATGGTAATTGATACAATGGTATAGAATAATTGTAATAAGGAGAAACTAATTTTGAATGAGCAAGTAATTTTGAGTAATTCAATGAATATGTTTTGTATTTAAGAATGTTTATGCATAAGTAATTTTGAATAATTCAATGAATAATAGGCTCTACATTTAAGAATGTTTATACATAAGTGATTTTGAGTAATTCAATGTAACATCTGGTAATTTGTGGAGGTACAAAAATAAAAACTCTTAAACACGTGTGACACTGTTAACGAACTTATTTGTGTTTGCGCTCTCACATAAGGAAACTGACCAGTCTTTGTTTACATTTTCAGATGCAAGTTTGCTAGCTCCAAATATGGTGAAGTTTGAAGATGTCACTGCAACATCCCTCACTGTTCTTTTGTGTTTGGAAGATTCTTCTGGAGAAAATAATGCTGGTTACACCATGTGGCATCGTAAAGCTGATGATGTGAACTATCCATTGGACCCGACTTGCACTAGTCTCCTACCAAATAGAAAGCTCAGCATCAGGGAACTACTTCCAGCTACAGAATACAGTTTTAAATTTGTTTCCAATGATTTGAGGAAGTCACTTATGTGCGAAGTTCAAGTCTCAACGGAGCATGGTGAGGATGAAGTCCCAAATTGCTCAGCAACGGAAAGAAGTCAGAGTCCAGTAACCAACTGTAGCAGCCTTTCCAATCCATCATCTGTGGAAGATGAAACTAATCATAGTGATCAGACAGATAATAGATCAGATAATTATCCTTCTTATAACAAGGATAGTGACCAGCTTGCTTCTGGAAATCTATCAAATGATGTTATTAATTGTTCCAACTTGGGTGGAGTGGGACTTCCCACCGATACAGATTCCTTGTCAGACAAGCAAGGTGCTGTGGGAAAGGCCAACACAATACCTAGTTCTGATGTACTAAAGCTTGAAAACAAGCATTCACAAGAGGAACAAGTAAATGAGGATATGAGCACTGATGATGGGTCAGTTCCAACGGGAAGGGAATGTGTGCCGATAGTAGGTTGCTCAGAAGGGAGCTTGCCTAATACTCCCAGCAGGTTGGAAATACTTAAAGATGGTCTAGGAAAAAAAGGTAGATCCAAATTCAGTGGCAAAGATCTAGAAAAAGGACCTGGGAAAAGGGGTGGCCCTCGAGATGGAAGCAAACCCAAGAAAAGAAGTGGTGAA